ACAGACGAACGCGGACACTGGCGTAGTGCTTGTGCGCAGGGGTTCAGGGGACACCCCCTGGCCCCAAACGTCATGCAAGCAAGCAAGCAAGCAGGGAGCAATCCCCTCTCCCCCAACCCTGGAGAAAGAAAGAGAGAGCACGCCCAACAAGCTTTGGCAGTGCTTCAGCTGCCAAGCAGCGACCCGCCGCCCGCCCGATCCACATGCAACCGCAGCTGACCTCATACTGCTGACGACGATCCGGGCCCTCCTAGAAATGGGGGGGCACCCGGGCATGGCGGACGTCCTGCACGACCTCTACCAAGTACAGCAGCTCTTGCAGGAGGGCACCCGCCAGTTCCACGGGGAACGCGGGCGCGACTGGTTCTGTATGGTTCTGTCTTGCTGCAAGCTATTCGGGAATTGCAATTCAAACAGCTGCGTCTGTGTTTCGCAGCAAGTTAATCGGAAACTCCAATATGTTGGGTCCTGCGCTGCTGCAAGCCATTGAGAAATTGCAATGTTTTCAGGCCGTGTTTTGCGGTATCGCAATTTTTGCAACTGTCTCTATCATGAGAATAATTGCGCGGACTTCCAAGATATGATATCTTCTGATGCCTGTGTGTGGGGTTCGAACGGTTCTGTAAGAGTTCTGTGCTTGATGCAAGTCGTGTTGATGGAGCGATGTTCTTGAAAGCAAGCTCGCGCAGCTTTTTCAAAGCGGGGGGTTGGGCGGGCAGCCCCTCCGCCCATTTGCAAACACAAGGCCTGTATGATGGGTTCGTGCTCCTCTTGATGGCATGATGCTCTTGAATGAAAGTTTCACGGCTAAGCTTCCAAAACCATGGCATACACAATGCCTACATGATGGACTTTCAAGCGTTGAAAGGTACCATAATAATTATGAGCTTGACGCAGTTCTTCTTGATGATGTGATGTTCTTGAAAGCAAGCTTGCACGGCTGTATAAAGCATGGGGTTGGCAGGAGCGCGGCCCGCCCGTTTGCAAACACAAGGCCTGTATGATGGGTTCTGAAAGTGGTTCTGTTCCTCAGGTCGCGATTCTTTTGAGAGCAGGCTTGCACAGCTAGAAAAGGCTGGGCCCCTCGGTTGCAAACGCAGGGCCTGTACGCTTGGTTTAACTTTTGATCAACCCAACGTGGAATCGCAGTTTCTACAGCTGCCTTTCAAGATATAACATTTTTTGACGCATGTATGCAGGGAGAGTTCTGTGCTCGATGAGATTATTCTTGATGGCGCGATGTTCTTGCAAGAGAACTTGCAGACGAAGCTCCGTGTGGCTACAGCAAAATGCAACAATCAAGCCAGGCCGCCTGAACGGTTGGTGCCGGCATGTGCCGGCACAACACTGCAAAAGCTCTGCCAACGATTTGTGCTCTAGACTTACGCCTGCAAGTGCATGGTTGCACAGGTGCCAGATTTAGCGGCGTGGGGCGATAAGAGCGGCATTGGTGGATCGAATGTTCAATCGTTGGATATGATTCGATCTTCGTCAACCTTCCTACGAGTCTGCTACTCAATGTGGCCGAACCTGTGTTCAAAGACAAAACCTTTTCAGGTACATTGGTCAGGGCCGTTCCACTTCATCGGTGATTTTGTGCGGATGCTGGGCACGTGTGGGATTCCTTCACCTTGCCCTCTACCACCCCTGTGTCTCTCTCTTTCAACTTCCATGCCGCGTTTAACCTTATTGCTATCGCTAGTTGCGCTCACAACGTTACCTCCAACTAATACGCTCCTAACTAGTAACTTGTGGTGTTTTTTCGGTTGTTTCCGCCGTTGCTGGCCCTCCTCCCTGGCTTTTTCACCGTTGTTACCAGTGGTACTAGTGCTACTACCTACGTATGCACTTCGCTTATCCTGTTGGACGTCAGGCAGGGCAGGCAGCAGCTGGATTTACGTTTCAATTCTCCCAACAAAAGCCTACACCTAATGCTCACAGCTTCGACATTTATCATTGTAGGCCTCAGCCGCCCCATCTTAGGGGCTCAAGGTTGCGTAAGGATGCGTCCACTCCCCACTTCACTCCAACCACTTCTTTGTGTAGGAGGGAACATATGTTGAATCCAACACTGCATCTGCTCTGAGTCTGCTTCGGACAGCTAGCTAACACAGAGCAGTTGGATCTGACCGCAGAACCGACTCGACATGAGGCCGTGTGTTTCGAGTTCTTCGGACGCCGGGCCTGTCAGCCCCCCCCCCCCCCCGACCTGCTTGTCCGCCCATGCCTTCAGCTGTCGTGCCGCTTTCTAGTGCTAGTCGATGGCAGTGCCCCGCGCCAACCCTCGCCGACGAGCTCCGGCCGGTGCATTCGGATTTGAACCTTTTGAGCGCCCAACTCTTAGTAGAGCGCAACAGTACCTCTCCTCTCATTTTCAAGAGTCCGGCTCCGTTCTGTGGCTGAGTAGCCATGGGGAAATGACGGAACAAAAGTCTGCTCTTTTGAAACGTCAAATCCTCACAGCTGTGGCTTGGCGACCAGTCACCCGCAAGTCTACGGATTGCTCAAGGCATTGGGGCACAAATTGAAAGCTTCGGCTTCCGAGCAGCAGGCTGACACTTGCCAGTGTCGGCTGCGCGGAGCTTCGGGAAACTCTTAGTAAGCACGTGGGAAAGCCCGGCAGCCTTGGAGCGTGATGAGTGTGATGCAAGGAGCCAAAGAAACCTTCCAAGTCCGACACTGATGCATGAGTTCTTGGAAAGACACATTTCCGAGATGATGGTTTGGGACTGGGGCCTAGGGTTTTCAAGTTGAGTCTCAGGCTTGGGAGCCTGGTGTCTTGAAAGAAGCAGGAAAGCTGCTCATTCTCATAGGAGCTGAGAGCTTATGGCGCCCCTAGTGCCCTAGTGTGTGCATGATCGATCAGATTTTGAAACTTAAAAGATTTCGGCATCAAGGGTTTGAACAGCAAAGCAAGGTTGGCTTGAAATGGGCATGTCTTTGCCAGCAAAAGCAAGTACGAGTATGCGCGACTTGTCTCGGGATTAGAGGCATATCGCAGAAGTCCAAGGGCAGAGTGAGACCAGTATACAGTATACTCCGCAAGCTGTCTGCAGGCTTTCTTAATTGATTCTGGAGCCCTCTACGTCGTCCTGCCCTGAGAGCGGCCAGCCTAGAAAGCCGCTGCGCAAAGATCTGAGGATCTCAGGGACGAGAACAGCTCGCAGGAGGGCTGGACTTCTCTTCCTCCTGCCTTTTCCTTACCTCTCCGCTCAGGCCGAGCCCCGAGTGGACTACACGCGCCACATGATGGTGACAGACGACTTCACTTCTAAGGCTTGGTCAGCCTCTTCGTGACAGACGCGAATCATGCCCGTGTCTGCCCGCCGTAGGCTGCGCCCGCAACTTGCCCGGATGATGCGCTGACTCCGCGGTCGTCTCGGATAGCTGTCCTGGCTTCATCCAGCCTCGTCTCCCTCGCGTTCAACCTGAGACTCAGGTCAGGGCGTTGCAACAGCTTCGCGGCCTTGGGAAACGCTATGTTGCCGTGGCAGGCGGGCATTTCCCAGGAGGACACCGTGCGTGCGCTTCACGAGGACGGCTCCCGCTCCCGTCCCGTCGGGCTTTGGGTGGTTGCTCCAAGTGCGGAGGATGGCATTCAGGCGCTGGTCTTCCGACTAGTTCAAAGCCACTCGGCCAGCGCGGAACTCCTACTCCTGGCCGTCCCAGAGGCATCCGCAAATCACGCCTTGTCGGCTTGCTTCCTCATTTTACAGGCTCTTGAGGCACACGAGCAGCTGGCAGACTGCGTCGCAGCTGCCATCATTGCGGCAATAGAAGCTATGTTGCCGGGGATGCTAAGGCACTGCCCTCAGGTTTTTCGGTTTTCGCTATGTGTAATGTTGCCTGCTTCTTACTCTGATTCGCTGATACTCGTTGCTTGTGCCGCTAGGCTAGAGATGGTGGTCAGCCTTGGAAATGAAGCTGTGTCACAACGGAGATCGTATTCGTGGAGCCCTCCTTATGGTCGCCGACAGGCGAGGCCAAGCATAACACGCGTTGAATTGCCCAAGCGTTCTGGGCAGGATGTGCCCCCGCCTGTGTTCAGCTTCTGCAGCTGCTTGGTCAGACATCATCACTGTATGGGGGAGGCTGCTGATTTCTTAGTGCATCAGGTGATCGGAAGAATTTTTGGGATATACCATTGCCAAGCTCCCTCTGCTACCGCTTCCGACCACATTGCAAGGGCAAGGCGCAAAACTTGCATCCTGTGAGCGTCTGTGGAGACCTGATGGTGGAGGACTCCGGAGACGCTCCCAGCGGCCTCAGCGGCCTCACGTACACGAAGCAAGAAGAAGAGTGCTACGTCTTCAGACTGTTTCGTGGCTGAGAAAAGTGCCACACTCCTGCACTGCAATCCCGGTTTGGAGGCGAAGACGCAAGCCACATGGGCTAAGCTCTGTCATGAGCTTCTGAATGACAGTCACCCACATTCATGTCAGTGAAACCGAATGTCTGTACGTCAGTGCACATCCGTAATGACATGCTCACCACATATTTACTGCAATATTTATCATTGCGGATCCTGCAACCCGGAACCAGGGCCCAGTCTGACCAGCTCTGTAAGGATAGCTCTGCCCTCTCCTGCAAGAGTTTCCGTCCATCTCGTGCTCTGAATGACGCCGCTGCCGCTGACAGGCTGATGGCTTATGGAGAACTCCTTCGCTACAGGCCTGTGGGCCACGCGATGGAGGAAGAGGCATGGTGCATTGGCAGAGAGATGCAAAGAAGCATGGAGTGCTCATCCACAGGCAGTAACCATGGATGATCTCGTTCTGAATTCTGGAGCCCCTCGTCGTGGAAGTAAGCCGGCCAGTTTGAGTTAGCTGGTTAACCGATGACGAGACTAACAGAAGGTTGCGGTCCTGAAATCGTGGTCGGTGCAGTCCAGCCGATCCCCCGGATTGATTCAGCAGTGCACCGGTGCGACAAGCCATTGCACATCTCTAAGCTCCGATGGCCGAAGAGATGATGTCGCGATGTGATCTGAATCTCAGCTGCAGCACAGCGGCGCAGTGCTTGATTACAGCTTGACCGGGCAGCTGTCAAATTGAGGCTCGTGGCAAGGGCAGCCGCTTGAAACAGCTGCCTGAAAGGGACCGGGGGTGTCCTGCAATCGCCAACGCAACTCCTGAGCGGGCGGTTAGCAAATGATTCACATCTTTGTTGTGTTTTTCGTTCTTTAATCAGCGACTTCATGTACAAGACATGCGTTTCAGCGTGAGCTGCCCTGATCCGCCCATGCTACGCCGGTTCAAGTTTTCCGGCTACACAAGCTGCTTAACTTCAAATCTGCGATCCCAGCCGTCAGTGGCCGGTGGCCAGCAGGCTGCAACACTTCGCAGCCGTCGCAACCAGCTTGCAAACTTGCACAACGTCACAGAGCCCTTAGCGATTCCAATCACGTGCCGCGCACGTGCGACCTGGAGGCTCGACTGCGACACCAAGGCTTTGTGACCTTTGTCTGTGCAGGATGCCATGAGCAGAGGCGCACACACTCGGACTGCACTTCGATCTCGGGGCCGATGCAAGTTTGCACGTACGGACGCTCCGTGCTGCGCTTTTGGAGGCCATGTCGACTTCTCGACTCTGCTGTTTGCCTGTACTTTGCAGGCCAGTGACTCAGCAAAGTGGACTTGGCGAGTGCCGCTTTGTTAGCTCGAGGTCCTGACTTCTCGCGCTGTTGCCCAGACGGTCAACAGCCCTGACCTTACCCAAGGTTTCAACTTTTCAAGCTGTCACGTTCACAGCCACTAGACATTTTTCAGTCGTCACCGCGCAGAGCGCAACAGCAGATGCAAGTGATTCAAACAACATGTGGAGTCGAATGTGAAGCATCCGATGTGGAAAAGCACCAGCACTCACCCCAGCCGCAGTTCGGGCATCTTCAGCACGACCAGCAACACCGGCTCAGATTCACCCACTTATTGCTTGAGCTGCGTGTTTCCCTCGCAGTCTCTGGCCGATGAGGACGTCGTGCGCTGTTTTTGTTTTGGTTGTTGCTGTTAGTGGTGGTGGTGGTGGTGGTGGTGGTGGTGGTGGTGGTGGCGCTGCTGCTGCTGCTGCTGCTGCTGCTGCTGCTGCTGCTGCTGCTGCTGCTGCTGCTGCCACATCCGTAGCAGACTCATAACCACAGCCAGCATGTAACGCTGCAGTTTCGTGGAGCGACGTAGAACTTGACAGGTGGCATTGGGCCACTCGTCCAACAGGCAGAACCAGAAGTTCTTTCGATTTACACAATCCAGAGCAGTGCAGAACTGTTGAAAGCTGCCCACTGGTCTCTGGTGCAGGCTGATGCAAGACCTGGCACGGTAAAGCCCTCAGAACTGAATCCAAGTCAGACGCTATCAGCTGCTTGGCATCTGGCATCGACTTCAACATGCCTTTGATTTGTGGCAGCTCCACTGGGCCCTGGCCGTGATCCTTATTGTCGTGCTGCTCGTGGGGCTCTTCCGCTCTTACCGAATCTTGAAACAGGCCGCAACACAAACGTGTTTTGCTCCCAATTCTGAGAAGCTTTTGAGCGAAATGTGCTTAAGCCCCTGTCAGACTCAGCACCTCACCGTGGTGAGACATGCCCCGGAGGCAGAGTGCATTAGCGTAGTACTCGAATGCATGTCGTGGTGCTGTTCTTGAGGGAATGAGAATCGTTGAGTGTGGTTCCTGCCACACGTCACAGCCACGCACTTGGCCCAAGCCTCTGGGAATCTTGACTGAACCGTCACTGACAGCTCAGGTATGTCAGTGCCCACGGACGTATCTTTATCTGCTGCAACTGCCACTGTGCCAATCGGATTCCGATGGAGGCTACACGAGCAGAGGCACATCTGCAAGCGCACGGATACGGATCGTCTCCTGTGAAGACTTTGAGGAGCTTACGGTGGCAGACGGGCCACTGAAGAAGTTCGAGTTCAAGAAAGGCGGTGAGAACTTCTGGCAGGAACCACCTGCTTCAACTGCATCACAATAGACTTGAACTGTAGCCGCCCGTTCTTAGATGAAGCCGTGGCTTGTGTCATTGCGCAGCCCTCCTTGTTTTGCAGTCCCTGCCGAGTCATATCTCGAATTTCTGCCTTGCATGCAAAAAATCATTGTTGCACCCGAAGCTTTCGGAACAAGGCAACACCGGAGCAGAAGTTTGGCATTGAGATTCAGAGCTTACTGACATGTGCACGATGATCCGACGCAAGCCATGCCTGTGCTCTTCAACGCTCGCAAGAAGTGGCAGGACAGATTGCATGGAAGCGTTGTTGAAGTAGTCATGACAAATCCGATGATCCCGACAGGAGGCAGAGGCTTGAAGCTTAGAGGAACCTAGTTTCTTTCATGGTTTCATACTCGTTTGGCTCGTGCGAGGCCAAAGTCATTCAGAAGAGCAAAGCTAGAAAGCAGCCCCGGGAGAAGCTTGGCAGCTCACTTTATGAGCCCCAGGCAGAAAACTGTCCGTCGCATCTTAGGAGAAGCACTCCGCTGCCAGATCGCGAGCACTGGGAGGTTGGGCTCAGAAACCTCTCCCGTTTCTTTCGCAGAGTAGAACTTCGTCAGGCCGTGCTGTCTGCCAATTGGACGTGCTTGAAGGAGGCTCCAGACGCTGTGAGCTCCTAAGTGGTTTCCGGATGCTGGCAAAGTGGACGCACCGTGTTCCGTGCTACTTTACCACCAAACGATCATTTGGAACTCCCTACCCGAACCAAAGCGGAGCCCACAACAGCAAAATTCTAGAATGGTGGCTTAAGCTTGTGTGACGTGCACAGCTTTGATGATGAACCATGTGACCCTTTCGTGAAGAGAACGTTGTTTGCCGGTGTTCGCAGCCGTTGAGTTAACAGACCATGCGATTGCTCTAGTTTCTGGGTCTCGCAGATGCCTCCTTGCTCCCCCACTTCGGGCTCAGCAGAATCATCCAGCTGCTGCGAACGCAGGAGTTAGTCAGGACGAAAAACAGACTGGAATTCCGAGCGGTTTGGCATGATACTTACTCTGATAAGGCGGCATGACAGTGTGAAGCGAGGAAGGTCAACTACTGGGTCCAAGGGTTAAGTCGCATCGCGTTGTGTTTAGTCGCATCGATCCAGTGTGCAAGAGGGGATTCTGCTAAAACGCAATGATGCCACATATGCGTGTCTCGAACGCGTGCTTGTGGAATTGAGCCTCTATATACATGGGGAATGGCTGGTTTTGATATATGTTGTGATGCCACTTGGGTCTCGAGTTGGTAGTTGCGAAATGCAGCATCTACATATGGAATGGCTGGTTTTGATGTGCCGTGATACCACTTGTGTCTCGAACGGGCGCTTGTGGAATCGAGTGCCTTAATGGAGAATGCCAGGTTTTGATGTGTTGTGATGCCGCGGATGTGTGTCTCGAACACGACTTTCGACGGCGTGAGGTGACGTAGGGCCAGCACCAAGTAGAATACTTCAGGCCCTAAAGCTTGTGAAGGTACCCTGAAGCCCCAACCCCTTTATGCCCGAACCCGTAGAACCCTAACCTTGTGTTGATGTTACATACAAGAGCGTATATATACTCCCAACCCCCCCCCCCCTCCCCCTTCCCGGAAATCTCCAACTGTTTCGGAGTTGTCCGCTGGGTCCGTGGGTCGACGTGACCCGGGAAGTCGGTGGGATTGTTTTGTTTTGGGAGCACCGAAATCCCCTCGTCCTCCCTCCCTCCCTCCCTCCCTCCGAAAAGCATTCATGTGTCCTGTCTGGCCTGGTTCTCCTAAAGATCGGAGGTCAAGGCTCTTTTCAGAACTTAGGTAACCCTTGACCTTGTGGTGTTATATACACCTATCGTATTTTTATAGGTGGGCCTCTGTGGGGCCACGGAATTCAGCAACTGGGCAAATAGGAGTTATCAGAGGGATGTTGTGACTAACGGTGCCCTGATGGGACTTAACCCCGCCACTCGTAAGTTCCGATGGACATGAAAGTGTGGAGAGTGACTGTTGGAAGGGGCTGGCACTGCTTCGTGCTGCTCACTGTTCAAGTTTGACCGTAACGGTACGAACGACAATCGAGAAAATAAGCACACTCTTTGTTTGTGAATTCGGCAAGGTGAAAGATGATCCTGTCTGCGTGCAAATTGCCGCGAGACAAAGCTGGAAGGCTCCTATATGAGATATGAGCGCTGCATTTCCCTTCAAGGGTGCTTCTGCGCAAGTACTACTTTCCGGTTCGATTTCTGCTTGCCATATATTCGCTGCCCATCTCTACATGAGCTTTGCCAACGTTTGCAGATTGCCTACGGCTGGACCCGCTCAAGCTGGGTCTCATGGTAGTCACGCTCGCTTGCAAAAGGCGCTGGAGTACGCATCCGAAGACATCAAAAATGATCCAGTGGTGACACTGCCCGTCGTTCAGTCTTGTTGGTGGGCCGCGACCTCTGTTGTACGCATTTGGGAAAGCTCTGCAAGATTCGGCCCTGAGGCGCTAGAGTTTGTTGGACAAGACGTCCGACGAGACGAAGAAGTTGCCATCGCTCGTTGCTTAGATCCCTGAATTGGCAGACTTTCATCAATCCTTCCTTTCGGCCTAGGCTGCCTTACGCCAAAATGCTCTAGCCTTCGAGTCGTGACCTCAATTCCAACTAGGATCCTCCAGCATCGCGTGCACAGCCTCTGTTAATGGGGAAGTGGAGTTGGCACTGCTTCTGGGGTTTTAGGCAGTGCGTGACTCATTTTATGCAGATGTCCGTTGTGGCGTGTGCCTTCACGGAGTCTACAGCAGTGCTGGATGAAGCTGGGTCATGCTGCCTCATGGAACCATGCAGACCATACCAGACCAGAATGATATTGCACGCAAGGATAAGTCAAGGATACTTAAAGGTATGTTTGTCAGTCTGTTTGTCTCGACGAAGTTAGCCCTCCACGCTTCGCTTTGGGCCGTACGGGCTATAGGTGGTACGTAAAAGCAGCCTTGGCGGTGCTGGTGCCGTAGAGCCATGTTATGAAGGCCATGTACATTCTGTTTTATCCTCCTAACTTGTGCAGAAGCGCATGGGCATTTCACACGCCGCCGTCCTCATGCGTCCTCCCTTGCAACTACAAGTTCGACCGAACGGCTTCCCACCTCCTGAGCATGGCGGCTCTGGCTTCAGAATTGTAGCTCCTGAGTTGCCTCACTCATCTTGGCAATGACGTTTTTGCCCTCCCCATGCACCTCAGTTAGTGTCCTGCTATCTTGCATTTTTGGGATGGTTATGGATGGATAATGATGGATAGTCACAGTCGCAGACGTGCCTTCGGCGACCCCTCAAATACGAACATTCGGTGGCACGGCGAAGAGGTCGCAGGCATAGCCCCGAATTCATGGGAGGCACATGCACAGATTTCCGGATGCCGTCTTCAGTACGCAGCATGCTGCCACGAAGGCCCTTTGTATTCGTTGTCTGACGAAGGTATCTGTGCCCAGAAAGCCTTTCTCGTCCACGTGTGCGCGTGCCTGTGTGCTTGCGCGTGCCAGCCGCTTGTGTGCGCAAGCGCTTCATTCCCGATGTTTTCTTTCCGGCAGCATCCTCCTGCTGATTCTTGCATAAATTGCTCGGCAGCCGAATGGCATGAACATCGAAAGTTGACGGACACTGTCGGGCTGCGAGCGAGCCAAGGTGCCTCTCCCACGATCTGCGGCACGACCTCATCATTCTGCAAGAAGCAGTCCGCCCACAGCTTATTTCGGAGCTACCAATCACGTGTAAAAATGGGGAACAATGGTAACAGCGACACCATCCCAGAAGTAGCTGTTGCCGACTGCCAAAGCTCTACCTGAAGGTGTGGACGGAAAGGCGCTGAGATTTGCATCGAAGGTCCTGCCCTGCTGCCCCGCATCACGCAACTGGAGCCTGCTTGACCACCGTTTCTCGTCAGGATCTATTGGCAGATCGCAAGCTTGTGGAAGACCTGGGCTCTCTGCCAACGGAGGGCTTCTTTGTTAGCGTGTCATTGTGCAGGACGCTGTTCGAAATGCGGGTGGAGAGGCTCTCCGCTATGCCGCTGAGGACAGCTGCAAGAAGTGCACGTTCGAGACATCAGCCAGATCGATTAGCAGGAGTTTGGCGATGACCCAGACATGGTGCTTCTGGTGCGCTGCCCAGCTGGCATGCCCAGACACATTCCGACATAGAGAGAAGCAGGAAGATGAAGAGTGCATCAGCCGTGGGTCTGCATTGGTGGGATCGCTCTAGCATCACTGCGGCAGAAGTAATGTGTGGGTGTGATTAATAACCCTCCCCTCCCCCCCGGCCAGGATAGGGAATAAGCGCGAACCGGGACCGCAGCCGATTGGAATAATGGGAGGAGGGTTGGTGGCAGTAGTACTAGTACTAGTAGTGGTACTCGTACTAATACCAAGGAGCAACTGTGACCGCTTTTTGGGCCCGCCGCGGCCAGGCGAGCCCAAAAGCGGTCACATTTGATCTCTCTGTTGCTGGGGTGGAGAGAGGACAGGGAGCAGGCAAATTTTGGAACTTCAAGGCCAGATTTTGAAGTGATGATTTCTTTTCGTAATAAGCCTGGTTTTGCTTGGGGTCGGGGTGGATCTCGGGGTTGTTTGCCTCCATTCCGGCACCTTTGGCCTGGCAGTTGCTAGGGTGCAGGGAGGGAAGGAGCAAATGTGACCGCTTTTTGGGCTTCCCGGAGCCCGGCGAGCCCAAAAAGCGGTCACATTTGGTCTCTCCGTTGCTGGGGTGTAGGGAGGAGAGGGAGCAGGCAAATTTTGGAGAACCAGGGCCAGATTTTGAATGATAAATTCTTTTCCTCCAAAAAACGAGTTTTTGATTGGGGTCGGGGCCCATCTCGGGTTTCCCCCATTCCGGCACCTTTGGCCTGGCAGTTGCTAGGGTGCAGGGAGGGAAGGAGCAGGCCCGCACGGCCCGGCGAGCCCCAAAAGCGGTCACATAGGGTCTCTCCGGTGCAGGGAGGACTGAGAGTAGGCAAATTTTTGGAAGTGATAAATTCTTTTCGTAAAAAGCGTGTTTTTGATTGGGGTCAGGGCCAATCTCGGGGTTCCGCCATTCCGGCACATGGCCTGGCCATTGCTAGGGTGCAGGGAAGGAAGAAGGTGCAGGGAGGAGAGGGAGGGAAGGAGCAAATGTGACCGCTTTTTGGGCTCGCCGAAGCCCCGTCGAGCCCAAAAAACTGTCACATTTGGTCTCTCCGTTGCTGGGGTGTAGGGAGGAGAGGGAGCAGGCAAATTTTGGGAATTCAAGGCCAGATTTTGAAGTGATAAATTCTGTTCGTACAAAGCGCATTTTTGATTGGTGTCGGTGCCGATCCCCCCATTCCGGCACATTTGGCCTCGCCGTTTCTAGGGTGAAGGGAGGGAAGGAGCAAATGTGACCGCTTTTTGGGCTCGCCGAAGCCCCGTCGAGCCCAAAAAACTGTCACATTTGATCTCTCCGTTGCTGGGGTGTAGGGATGCCACAAACGGCTTATTGCTTGTACTCAACTCAGAAGCTAGGAAGAGGGTCGCCATGCCCAAGAAAAGGCACCGGAAATAATTATGTTATTATTACAACCCCTTTTTTTTTCGGGCGTCCGGGGACCGGTTGCAGGCTTGTAATCTTCCCACAAAGCGATCGGCAGAAGCGGCCCGAGCAATTATTTTATTAATCCCACCCCATTTATGTATTAATCACAGGCGAACATTACGTAGCGTGGTAGGCAGCTCGGGACAGATGTCACGGGTGCAATACGGACATGTGACGCGAGAAACGGACGACCTCAAATGCGAGACTTGGAGCATTAACTTGGACATGGGCAAGAGAAACAAGTTCTGAGCTCATACTCAGCAAACGCTGCCTGGCCTGACCATACGCGTAAGAATCCGGCAACAACTTGCGCACAGAAGGTGGGTCCCACGGCCGGCAATGTTGGATTCGTCGTTGCAAGGAAGCATTGGCAAAGAGCTGCAAGCGGTGCATCGACCTGCCACGGTGATGCACAAAAGCCAGTCGTTCCTGTCCGAACATTCCGGCTGTTTCTGGTAGTTAGTTTTCGTGTGGAAGTCCCTCGGAGTCTTTCTTACCATGCGCATGGTACGATTTCGGAAGGCACTTCAGGCTCCTGCGGGCTCGCGGAGCACCAAGTCCTTTGATTTACCCTTACAGCGAGGTGTGGGATCCTGGGCACGTTTCATGTCGGCTTTCCGAGGGACAGAGCCTTGGCCTTCTCGAAGCGGTTGGCTGCGGATCATGGGTTTGTCCTCCAGCTTACGCAGTCAGACACTCATTGGTCGAATCAAGACTTTTCGAGCTGGTTGCGAATGCCTTCGAGCAGTCTAGCATTGATTTAGGAAGGATGGCATGGCCCTGCGCTATGTGCTGGCCTGATCTGCTCATAGTCAGCCAGCTATTGACCTGACATGACTCGTTGAAGGCTTCGGAGAGCTTGAAGGCGGACATGTCAGTCGTTTTGGCGGCCTCAACCTTGGTGTTCTATTTTATCACATCATGTAGCTTGGGAAAGTTGAGACATTGAGGCCGTGGAGCAGAATGGCGATGCTTTGCAATTTGCTTCTGATGACATGCGCGACACGCGCAAGGCTCGGCTCTACAAGGTCACGATGTGTGGCAGAGGTGTCCACAGCAAGCAGACCGCAATCGACCGCAGGTTGTGGAAGCAGCAGTGCAGCAGAACCCCAAAGCTTTGCGATTCGCCTCCGAGAAGCTGCGCTCCGTGTCGTGCTCAGGCGGCTGAGAGCTCATGGCGGGGCGGGGGAGGGAGGGGCCGGGGTCTCCACCTGGGTGATGGGCAGCGACTGTGACGGGTGACGAATGCCGCCCTGCCACGACATGAAGCCTCCATGATGCGCATTGCTCAGACCAGCCACGTGTTTCCCATTCGGCATTGCCAAAGTACATGTTTCTCCAGCTCTGCAGATTCTAGGGATAGAATGCTGGGGCGTGAGCTGCAGCGCCCTGGTGCCGGCCGCATCTCCATTCTCAATTTGATGCTTCTCCTCCCGAGCGGACTCGCGCGCTTCTTGCTGTGTATTCCCCACATATTCGTTGGCTGTCGTCAGGAGCATGGACGCTTTGGGATATGTTTGGTTTTAGGCCGTTTGTTTACCGAAAGGTTCTCCGGAGCAGGCCTCCAGGTCTTAAGTAAAAGTGGGACGAAGTCTCAACCATCACCATCATCATCATCATAAATTTCAGAGTTGCCATGCAACCAAGTGTGATCCTCTCGTAAGCCAAACGTGTGAAGACACGTTGTTGAACAAACCGCGAATCGTTTTGGCTAGCACTGAGGACGAAGACTTGGTCAAGCAGGTTGCCACGGTGGACGGCACCATTCTGGAGTTTGCGGTAGATCTTTGCCACGCCCTGAGTTGTCAAGAGAGCGCTTTGTACTGGAGTGCCTTGATTTCACTCATGTTGGATCGAGGTGGCAACAGACGTGTGGCTGTGAAAGCTGTGGAGCAATCATGGGAAGCGCTTCGCTTCGAAGAGGCATCGGTCAAAGCGCCATCACCTCAAGGACCTTTAGCCGTCACCTGGGCCGAAGGTTGATGGAGGCTTGCCTGCCAACTTGCTTCTGGAGGCTGTGAAGCAGGAGACCTCTGAATGATGACTACTGAGTACTGCTAGTTATTGGAGCGTGGTATTTTGTTGCAGGATTGGAGAGCGGTTCAAGAGATTCTCAAGAAAGAGCCGGAGGTCTCCGAGGCCACTTGCCGCATCCTTCTGCAGGGCACAAGACTTCCGAGCTGCCATTAACAGGATCTTCTTCTCCAAATGGCTACGACCAATCCGGAGATTGTGCGGGCAAGTCAGCATGCCTCCAAGTTATCTGCCACAACCCAGCCGCATGAAGTATATATTCGTGAGAAGTTTCGAGGTTGCGCGGACATCGCGTGATAGCAAGGGCTGCCCTTGAAGTGAATGGTATGATGCTGTTGGAAGCCGAGTATCCAGGCCGAGACCCTTTACAGCGTCGCGGTGGGCCCGTCCTGAGGCACTATCTACTGCCGCATCTGAGATCGGATCTTGAACTGGTCGCAGCCTCGACGCGTCGAATCTCGGATGTCAAGCCTTGGCATGATGCCATCAGGCCGCTGCAGCCGTGCGCCAGAATCCCGATGCATTGTCAGAGGCGCATCCGGCGCTGCGCCCATCACTCAGCACATCTGATCTCCGTGAATATCTCAGAGAATCCGCGGCCTGCGGCCTCCAACTCTGCGAGGCCAGGAGCCAACTTTGCGCAGCTTGCAGAAGGAGGGCTTCGCACGACGAGCACACACCGAGCTTCGGAGGAGTCGGAGCTGTGCATTGAAACAATTCATTTCTTTCTGGTGCTGCCAGGGCCAAAGCTTTGAGGGAGGCCGAGGAATTGAATTGCTCCAGCGACTGTCAGTGAAGGGTGCGCATTTTGAAACCCGGGGCCGTTTGCCCTGTTTCTTGCGTTTCACATCTACGATCGCCGACAGAAAGATGTTGGCCTGAAAGCATTGCTCAAAGAGTTCGTTTTGCAGGAATGTGGTTCGCTCCATTCTCCACAACAGTCGCATGTATTCCCGGCGAACTTGAGGAGGTGAGCCAGGAGGAAATGGAGGAAGGTGTGGCTTGGTGCGGTTCAGGATGTTCAGCGAGAATACAAGACTTCGTGCCTAGTCTGGGGCCGCCCGCACCCAGGCCGAGGCATCTGAGCCAGTATCGCAGGCGAGTGCGCGAGTTTGTTGAATAGGAATAGAGCGAGTTCCTATTTGTTCTGCCGTGCTCCCCGGCCCAGACGGGTGCAGACAAGCCGGCTCCTTCGCTGATCGGAAAGGCTCACCGATTGGGGCTCGGGCTCGTGCCGACTAGGCCTTCGAAGCTTTAGGGTTACTGCATTTGGAAGGTGGACGTGGAGAATGCCAGTGCCGGAGAACGATTTCCGCAGTGTGCCTGAAACTTAAAGTCTTTAACATGAACTTGAATCCACGACAATGGAGTTCTTGTCATGTTGGTGTGCTGATCTGCCCTTGCAGGTCGTTTGTTTGGATGAGCCCGGCTGCATGGTCTTGCTACCGTGCGCTCACGGAGGTGTTTGCGAGGCCGGCTACACTTTAGTTTGGCATACTGTGGCATGCTTGAGTGCAATGTCATTTGAGGGATTCCTGTGTGCAGGGCATGTAACTTCGGCAGGCATGCGTGACCCGCATTGTCCAAAATCGTGCATTTGGGGGATCCCATTGCCCTCACTGTAGATCGACCATCAGCACCTTGGCTTGGACTGCACGTGAACTTGGCAAAGCGGTATTCGTGGGGATGAGTGGATGCTCCAAGGCACCATTGTGAAACTTGAGGAGGCTCGCATCAGGTTTGCTCTGCAACATCTGCTATGTGTTTCTCGAACGCATGTTCCTGCCTCAGGTTGAAGGGGAGCTGGCCAAGGGAGTCGAATTGCGAATACCGATGGCCAGACCTCTGTCATAGCGGCGCGAGCAGCGAGGCAGGTGCAGGGTGTCGGAGCCGGCGATGGCCCAGCCGTTGACGGTCGACGTCCGCTCTTTACAGCGCTCTTCGGCTCTTCGCTTTCTCACCAGCTCTTGCTGTGCGGCTCAGAGATCATGTCAGACTTGGACAGCGAGCCACCAAGTACCAAGCTCATCCAATACTCATTGAAGCCAACATGTCCAGACTGGCCAGCCATGTCAATATTGTCGGGTCTCTGCGATCTCGTCCAAAGGCCAGAGTATGGGAAAGCCGGGCAGGAAGATGCTGCATTCCCACAAGGCTTTTTGGGACGTGCGGAGTTTCGCCTCAAGCCCGACACAGTCTTTCTCCTCCAGAGACAGTCCAGCCACAGGCTGACTGCAGAGCCTCAGGCTTTGCTTTCTTTGGCTTCTGCCGCCTTCAGGCCATCACTCTCTGCTGAAAACGCCTGCCTTGCTCTCAGACTCAGACTCTCGCAGTGCTGGGCATTGTCTCAAGCGTTCAAAGGTGTCCGAGCTTGAAGTCCCTTCCGCAGCTCTGCCAGTCGCGAAGGTTCCGAAAACTGGGGAGGTCATGCGTGCAGGTATGCCCTGCCCCGCCCTGCCCTGGCAGATCCACGTTAGCCCAAGATAGGTCATGACGTGTACAATCAGCATCCGGTGAAGCGCGTTTCCCGGGTCCTCTTCTGAGTAGCTCCGAAGATCGCGTTGCAGAGGCAAGCGACATTGTCTTCAGGGGTGCACTTCACGAGGATGCTGAGGCTTCCGTTGTGGTGTTGCCTGGTCCTGGAGAAGTGTCCGGCATGAGAACACTCTGAGGGCGGCGGTGCTCGACATGCACCTGCCGTTTCCAAAATGTGGAGCAACATTCCAGCACATGCCCCTCGGCAGGGTGAGAGGGCAGTTGAGACAGGCTGCAACGGCTGGGTGATCCAGATTGTAAATGGTACCGGAGTCTGCACAGGTTCGCGAGTCTTTTCGAGCTCCTTCCAACTTAGTCGAAGCCTCGAATTTTCCTCACTTTGCACACGTCCCAACCTGTCGCATGTGCGCCGGCTCAGGAAGACGCCCCGAAGCCGTCTGCACCGCTTCTACTGGACAATGTGCTCTGGCGAAGCAACGCAGCAACACATGCTTTCGTTATTCCTTTGGTGGGTTTTGGTGGGGAAGAGCCGGTCAGATGATGAGTTGTTGGCACCAACGTTTGTTGCCGCATCCCTTTGTTCGGCAGGCCCTTCACATCCTGTTTCCTGCTTGCAGGTTGTTGACGGAAGGTATAGAGATGCCTCAATCACGGCCGTCTTTGCTCCAGTTCTCTTTCAAGTGAGTAGTATGGATGCTTCCCATGTCGGGGTGGCATTGCTGGGTGTGATTGCTGGGTGGTGGCCTTCTTCATACCCTCAAGCCCGGAGCGAGCCGACGGTTTGCCAGTGCCACTGTGTTAGTGCAATCGACAAGGCATCATCGGAATACTCATCCTTTTGGTCCCTGGTGATAGTCTCGGTTATTCTCCTGCTCGGTGCAAATTTAGCGCTGGTTCTGCGGATCACCTTGAAGAGATCGGAATCCGGAGAACAGGAATTTACCCTGTCCGTGAAGGGCAAGCAGGGGAAGGGTATCTTCGGAGCCCCGAAGGGACTCCAGTTGCTTGACCAGCGATGAATAGCGGAGACGTGGTATACGTGCAGTACCATGCAGATCCGGGAGTATTCCACACCCGTCTTCTTGCATCATGTCTCGGAGGGGATGAATGGATGATTATCACACCAGATCATGATACGTACTCGGAGGTTTATAACCATGCCAATGTCGACATCGCCCGCTTCTACCACGCTGCGGATGGGAGACTCCCCAGACAAGTCCCAGCGGGACAGGTGTATGCTTTCCAACCCATGGATGCCCGACAATATGGAGATCTTTTGCGGAGTGGTAGGCGCGAGGCAGATGCCGAGCTTCGGAGACGAGGACTACCAGCGGTCGGTGGAGGTCCGGTTCCAGCGGCCGGAGAGCCAGGACCGGTGGGTAATGCTGGTGTGGCTGCGGATCGGGGCCCCGCTATGGTGTGGGTCCTAGCTGAGATGCTGGAAGGAAGAAAGATCGGAGAACGCGTTACTCCTCCTGCTGGGCTCCCGCAAATGGGGGACTGGGGCCTCATGAATGTGGCGAACGCGCAGGGCGTGACTCGGGCTTGTCTCATTCATCAGCTCACAGAAGAGGAGGTGCCACGCTTCTGCGAAGAACGTATTCGTCTGGCGCGGATCTCGGAGGCGTCTGAAGGAGATGACTTGGTGGCGGCGGATGACGTCAGGACCATGGAAATCAGATATGGGGCGAATGGTGAGAGACTTCGTAATTTCCGCGAATCCGTAGCAGAAATGACGGAGGTGGATTTCAATGATTATCCGCTTGAGCCTCGGACTGCTCTGGCATATGTCAAGGCAGTTGCTGGTGTAGCAGAAAGCTGTTATGCCCAGCATCTTGCCTGGGTGGCGCAGTCGCGCATTCCGGAAGGCGATAGAGCCATTCACGAAAGTGAGGTCTTGTCCCGAGTTGTGGACACTGCGATTACATACGATGGGCTCAACATCGCCAATCTGGCAAGTTTCGAACTGGTCATCCGGCGCAAGCAACTGCTTGCGGAGGCGCATGCCTATAATCCCTCCGCTCCTTCTTATGAAGGAGCCGACCATTTCATGGGAACCACCTACCGACCGGGGGGAGCCATCGTTGTTCCTTCGCTCACAGAGTTCGTTTCAAAGAAGATGGGAGAGGAAGCACAGATCCTCAAAGAGAGGCGAAAGCTCGCTGAGGCCAAGGGCCGTGGACGTGGCAGAGGAGCCCCCAAAACCCCTCCTGATGGAGGCAAGGGGGCGCCGACCAAGTAGCTTCTTTTCGTCGCTGCCTTACTGGGTGCAGTTGGGTTGGGCAGCTCTTCTTTACAACTGCGGGATGGTTAGTGATTGGAGCAGTCGGATTTTTCATAAACCTCGCCAGGGGGATGGAAGAAATCGTGATATCTTTCCCTTACCGTGTATCCGTGTACCAGGACACGATGCGAGAGGAGTGTGTCGGACTGTTTCAAGGAGATTACAAGTGCGTACGCATGAGTATGAGCGGGTCAATCAGGCCATTCTCGCTCTGAATTCACTTTTCTTCGGAGGTGAGAAGCTGGCACCTTGCGCTTGGGTCTCTTCCTTGGACGAGTTGGCGTTGATTCAGCGCGAGGTTGTTCAGGGGATTGTGCAGAAGATTCAGCGTTTTGGTAAGCCACCTCCAGGTGCAACTAGCCAGGGAGCCCTTCATGCGCTTCGGGCACCTGCGTCAGGATATGTTTGTCCTGAGGCGGGGGTTGGAGATGTGGTGAGTATGAGTTTGGAGGCACTTTCCCTTCCATCGGGGCGTGTTGCGGGAGTGGATCTTGCAGCGCAGTTGAAGTCGCCACTGCGCGAGATGGTGGTGGACTACGAAGATCATATGCTGCAAGATGCTAGCGATTGGCGGGAAGCTGCGAAGCTGGCGAAAGCTCTTACCCCGTACAACGATCCTTGTCTGAAATCTCGTTCGGGCTATATCCGTTTCTTGGAGCATTTGCATCGCTGCGGGATCTTGAGCATCACGTCTACTTGTCGTGGAAGGGTTGGTGCTTTCACGGTTTCAAAGAAGTCGAAAATCATTGATGGCAAAACTGTTGCTAGACAGAGACTTGTCTTGGATTGCAGGCAGGTTAATCTTCAATTCAAGCCTCCTCCTTACACTGAGTTGGGGTCGCTCGCCGCTCTGACGGAGCTGGAGTTAGGATCCCACAGCCAGATGTTCACGGCAGGTGCTGACATCAGGGATTGCTTCTATGCATGTCACATGCCGGCAGGTCTCGAGGATTTCTTTTGCCTGCTTCACGACATTACGGTTGATGAGTGTGTGCAAGTGTTTGGAGGTGTGGCTG